CGAACTCTGGTCCTCTGTGAGAAGAACCATCTCTCCAGCCCAAATCCTCTTTTATGATCTTAGTCCCATTCATGAGGAAGGATCCCTTTTGAATCAATCACCTTGCAGAAGCCTAGCCTCTTAACATGGTGTCATTGGAAATTAAGGTTCAATATGATCTTTTAAGGGGATATAAGCATATAAGCCATAACAGCTTGTGTGACATATTTCTGTATGATTTTAGATGTTTATAATCCTTAAGATATTTTTTAACCTGTCAGGTATTTCTGCTTGGACTTATATAGCAGGCTGCTCCCCTCACATAGCATACCCCTACAGTCATAGCACTTGGGCGCTCAGGCAGGCTCTCCCCTCACATAGCACACCCCTACAGTCATAGCACTTGGGCGCTCAGGCAGGCTCTCCCCTCACATAGCACACCCCTACAGTCATAGCACTTGGGCGCTCAGGCAGGCTGCCACAAGTCTAGGGCCAGCTTAGGCTCCGTAGTTCCAGGCCAGCTCCAACTAGTTGAGACCTTGTCTGAAGAAACAAACTCATCCCAGGTCCCACCCACACAAATATACATGCATATGCTGCTCACGATCAAGCATCATACAAAAGTACCTGGTCTGGGGTTTGTCATGGGTGTTCATCTGCTGTAAGAGAAGGTTCCTCTGTGCCATCTGATAGCGGGGCTGTCTTGTCAGTGGGCTCCTGGCCAGCTCTTCCCCAAAACAAAGCTGCTAATCAAACGTTCTGCCCAGGTACAGGGAGTACAGAATGCCGTTCCCATCAGGGCGTGAGGTCTGCTGGGAAGCAGATGTCCTTTCGCAATCTCGGCAGAATCGACACCTCTTATCTGGAAGTGCCAGCCAAGAACAAGCAGCTCAAACACGTGAGTGCTCAGGCTTCTCAGACAGGCCAGGAAAAGCAACTTTGATTACAGATGATCCAGGCCTGGAAGTTATGAAATGAAGGGAACGAAACAGAACCTAGAAATGCATCTTAAAAGATTTTATTTTTAATTACGTGTATGTGTGGGCATAAGCATGTTTCAGGTGGTTATGAGTGTCTGGTATGGATGCTGGGTCTTGAACTCTGGTCCTCTGGAAGAGCAGCCATGTCTCCAGTCTTAAAGATGTTTTTAACTGGTATATTGTGAGAAATGAGAGAAGCTATTGCATCCTTTAATTACATCCATGGGAGCGATATGCAGTTAAAGATCTCTTAATTGATGTACCACTAAAGGCAAGAATACAACAAGGTACAGCTGAAAAAAAAAGCCCTCAAAACATTGTCAAAAAATGGGTCATGTAACAAGTGTAGATGTGTAACAGAGGAACCTGAGTCCCCCAGATCTAGGCTACAGAGAACGGTGATGGGAGGGAGTAGGTTAGCCAAGCCCATAACGGATGGATGTGAAACTCAGCCAGGAATGCCCCACGTGGTTATCTAGCACTATTTGAAAACTTTTCCAAGGATGAGTTTAGGTAGCATTCTCAGGGAATTTTGGAACCTTCCACAGAAATAAAAGATCTCACATACTCAGGGGAGAGGAGAAAAGTGGTAACTTACAAGGTTTTAATGATTGAGCAGGCACTATCTTCTGGTCTACACTGCTGAACACTAAAGATAACAGTACAGTATCCAAATTGGGGATTTTTTCAATGTACATTAATATAACCATATAAAATGCTATCATGTGTACAGAGAGAAGAAAGATGCCATTCGTCATGTAGGAACCTCTGAGCATGTACTGTACCCTGTTATAGGACATTAGGTAATGGTTCCAGCCAAGTGAGAGAGCAAACAAAATGGGAGATCGGGCCTCTAGGAAATGGGGATCAATCCAGGGAAGAGAAGCTTTGAAATGACAGCTTGATTGTTCGGTAGCAATTCTAGAGGACAGCCAGTCAAATGTAGGGGTACAGGAGAGCTCTGGAAGAGAAGGCGTCTCGGGAAATGAAAGGGAAATGCCTGAAATAAATAGCATGATTAAGATGCTAATATTTGTGATATTAAAATTGTTACTCTTTAACTTCATATCTATAAAAAGTCAAATAAGATGCAAACAAAATGTAAGATGATTTTAAACCATCTTCAGGAGGGTGAGAAAAGAGACCCTAGTGCATGAGAAAAACCGTGTTATTCTTGCAAACCGCATGAATCTGCCCACAAATACTAATTGGATAGTCTTAATAATCCAAGTACTTTTTTATTGTTTCTTAACTTTTAGAGTAAGTCAGAGGCAAAATATAAAATAGTTCATTAGGATGGTAGATCAGAATGTAAATGTTAGAATCATCACGATATAAGGGTGAAGATGCAGCTAAGAAAGAAGGGGAAATGGGACAGGGTGGACAGCACTGTTATTTATAACAAGAAGTTAGCTTGTGGGGCTGAAGAGATGGCTCAGGAGTTAAGAGCACCGCTTTTGTAGAGGGCCCTAGTTCTATTCCCAGCACCCACATGGTGACTCGCAACCATCTCTTGATCACAATCACCAACCCAATTCCAGGGTGATCTGGTGCCCTCTTCTGGCCACTACAGGCACCAGGCACACATGTGATGCATTCACATACCTGAAGGTAAGACATTCCTATGAAGATGTAGAGGTGTAGTTGGCACCCTTACCCAGAGGGCTCCCTGCTTGCTGGGTTCTACAACCAGTGGGCTCAGCTACCTGGGGATCCACAATACTCAGGAGAAGTTGCGTCTGTGTTGAACGTGTAGAGGTTTATTTCTTGAGCATGATCCTGTTCCCACTACCTACATAGTATTGGCACTGTATTATGTTAGGTTTTATAAGTCATCTGGAAAAGATTAAAATACTAAAAAGTACACACATAGGAAATGTGCTCATGGATTGTGGTCTTTGTAAGAAGTCTTGGGCCCAAGCTGGGTGGTGGTGGCGCACACCTTTCATCCCAGCAATTGGGAGGTAGAGGCAGGCAGATCTCTGTGAGTTTGAGGCCAGCCTGGTCTACAGAGCTAGTGCCAGAACAGACACTAAAGCTACACAGAGAAATCCTGTCTTGAAAAACCAAGAAAAAAAGAAGTCCTGGACTCAATCCCTGGCAAATATCAAAGGACCACATATCTCATTTGAAATTACAAGTGTTGCCAAGAGGAGAAACAAAGTAAGTAACTTATTAAATGTTGAAATGAAAAAAGGTTTTAAGAAGTGTGGGATAGTGTTAAGAGATTGGACCTGGTCTAGAGTGATAGACACAAAATGAGGATTTACATACTGAATTATAGAGCTAAACAATGGAAATCTGCAAGGAAGAGCTCGCCCCTGGGGAGAGGGACTATGACTTTTCTCTTGTTCTTCTGCTTTCTTGGCCCTGCTCCAACCGCCAGTGCTTCAGTGAAGTATTACAGTAGACAGTCCCTGGCCTCTGTGTCACACACGTGCATAATAAATGGCTTCAAATCCAGAGGCCACCTTCTCTGGTCTTATTGGTTTCCTGAGTGGGAGAGGTGCATTTTCAGACTCCTGCATGTCCTCATGGCACTTGAAGACATACTAATGCCTAGAGAGAGGAGAGGTGGCATTGAGACCACTTGATGCTCTTCCAGAGGACCCAAGTTTGGTTCCCAGCACCATGGTATGACACTCACAACTGACTACAGCTCCAGGGGATCTGATGCCGTCTTCTAGGCCAGTGGTTCTCAACCGGGTCGTGACCCCTTTGGGGGTTGCATATCAGATCTTTACGATTCATAGCGGTACCAAAATTACAGTTATAAAGTAGCAATTTATGGGTGGGGTTTGCCATAACTTGGAGAACTGTATTAAAGGGTCACAGCATTAGGGCTGAGAACCACTGCTCTGGGCTCTGCAGGTACTTTTCCACACATGGCATGCTCTCCCCCACCCCACACACATAAATAAAAGTCTTTTAAAAACTTAGTATGTCTGTCTTAAGGTTTCTATTTCTGTGAAGAGGCACCAGGACCACAGCAACTCTAATAAAGGAAAACATTTCATTGGAACTGGCTGACAGTTTCAGAGGTTTAGTCCATTATTGTCATGGTGGGAAGCATAGCAACACGCAGACAGACATGGCTCTGGAGACTTCTACAAATGGATTTCTAGGGAAGCAGGAAGAGACCGTGATCCACTAGGCCTGGCTTGAGCTTTTGAAACCTCAAAGCCCCCGCCCCCTTCCTGTGACACACTTCCTCTCAAAAGTAAACATCTCCAATCATGCCCTCAATGAGTCTATGGGGGCCATTTTTCCTTCAAAACATTACAGTATTTCAAGTAAGAATCATTATCTTACTCGTGGATTATATTTCCATATTCTTGTCTTCAACAGTAGAATTACACATGTCAGTCATCCTGTGACATTTTTACATTACAGAGTTGTATAGTCATTTCCATAACTCAGTTCTGTAACAATTTTGTCTCTCTGAAAAGATTGCTCGTATTCACATCTAGCTTATGGTTCTAGCCCAGAGAGCTACTACTGTCTTTGCCTTTCTATGCATTTCACATAAGTAAAATCATGTATGTACTCTTCCGTAACTCACTTTTTCACTTAGCATGTTTAAGTTCATTCATGTCTTAACATATATAAACAGTATTCCATTGCGTGCTCACGCCACAGCTTGTTTATCCTTTTGTCAGCTTATGGCTATGTGGATACTTTCTACTTTGAGGACAGCAAGAGTGGAGCCGTTTTAAAAACTTGCATAAAGGTCTTTGTGTAGATCCGTGCTTTCATTTCTTTCATATATATTTATATGCTTTAGTGTATATTTAACCTTTTCCCCTGTGGCCCTGGGAGTTGACTTGCTGGCCTCACAAGCACTCTGTCACTGAGTTGCATTCCCAGCCCTTGTGTTTAACTTCTTCAGGAACTCCCAAAGTATTTCCCAAAGTAGATGTACTGTTTTATAGTTTCGTCAGCAATGAGTGTGGGTCCTGGTTTCTCAGTATCCTTGTCAGAACTTGATATTGGCGCTGTCGCGATTTAGCGATTCAAGTGGGTCTGAGGAGGCTTCTCATCATTTCATCTACCTGATAGTTAGACTGTGTTGAATTGCAGCAGCATTTGAAAACCACCCTTGATGCTTTTCTTCCTTACTCTGCTTTCTTGTCTGTGGTGTGCCTCTTAAGGATACCTTTAATTGCTGTTCTTTATCCTGATTTCTATTTACTTTACTCCTCCACTATACTTGATTACTAAAATTAATAATAATAATATTTTTCTGACGCCAAGTATTTTCTATACTATCATTAAAATGAACTTCCTAACATGCCAGTATGACCATGCAACTCCATTGCCAAAGACTCTTCAGGGACTTCCTGCTGCCCTTCGGGTGATGTTTATGCCTGGGGTCTACCTTCCTTGCACCAGAAACCGCTTTCTCCACTACCTCACACCCCTGTAAACTGTACACCTTCCACATATGTGCCCGAACACATCCTGGCCTTGGGCCTGCCAACAACTGGTTGACCACCTTGGCTTTTTGTGCTTTTGAACATTGTGTGTAATGGTCATTCATTTCTGCTTACAAATGCTTCTTTTTTCCCGAGGTTACTTGAAAATAATACTGCTTTTTGAGTCTCTCACTTCTTATTAGTTAACCCATATTATTGGGTTTGATGTGTGCTTCTATAGTGCTATACCGCATGGGCTACACAACAAGATTCTGTCTTAAATAATAAAATAGCACACATACATAGGAATTGGCAAGAACTGTAGATTGACCCACATGGAATTATCCTCATTTTAAGTAAAAATCTCACATGTGAGTTTTTGTTCAGCCTTCTGTCACTATGGAAACACTGAGAGGAGTAAAATAAAGGGGTGGTTTATGTTGGCTCACAGCCTTGGTCTGTAGTTAGTTGGCACTGTTTCTTTTGGGCCTATAGGAGACAGAACGTCACCTCAGAGAACATGGAGCAAAGCCCTTCATCTCGGTGTCCAGGAAACAGGATGGGTGGGGTCCCTATGTACCTGTGAGTTGCGCTAAGGGCATCTTCCTCCTCTAGGTCCCTTCTCCTAAAGGCTCTGACACCTCCCAGCCGGGCCATCAGATAGGAACCAACCATCCAACACATAGGCTTAAGATCCAAACCACAATAATGACTCAGCCAGACACTGTTTTAGTTACTTGTTTTATGCTTGTCATTCCTGTGTCCAGCGGGGGAGGGCATTTGTTTAAAAGATGCTCACCACTTAGCACACATGTTCACAGTAAATGGAGAAACTGTTCTTATGTACCAAGGCTTCCATTCAGTGAAATGCCAGCTTGAAAATCTTATTTTCTAAGATAGAATCACATGCATCCAGGTAGCTCACATCTGCAAACCCAGCATTTGGGAGTTTAAGGCAAAAGGACTACAAATTTTAGGCAAGCCTGGGCTATACAGCAATACTCTGTCTTAAATGATAAAATAAGGAATCACATAGCTCTCCTTGTTACTAATTTTTAGTGTATAAATGATACTCAGTACAAATTGTGATATTTCTCTTAATAATTAATGGCGTAAGGTCACATGATTTCCCAATGCTCTTTAGTGCTCATTCCTATATTAATTAATATATTGACTTATGAAAACTATGGACAGTGTAATAGTTTCCTAATTCAAATAAAATAACGAAGGATATTTTATCATCTCATTTTCAGTCTCAAATACTGTATGATAAAATGATTTATGTATATATATGTACATATATATGTAATTACTATAGCTATAAAAATTTCCTTTGAATGTGGGAGATATGTGGCAAGGAAAATAAATCTATAGTCAAAAGCTTACTATATATATATATATATTTTAGAGAACAAATGTGTTTGTCTCTGTGTTTTATACCCATGAAGTAATGATGTTATCTGAACTATAATTTTTAGAAAATATAACCATCCAAATGCTTAGTATACCTTAGATAATTATGTGAAGGAAACACCCAGATTTCATTTAAACAGATCTATAGATTAATATTTTAAAATGTGGTTTTTGGAACTTTTCTTAGTGTGTGCGAGGCTCAGGTTCACATACACAAAAGAAGGCAGAAAAGTTGTAAGAGCCACAGGTGACGGATGGCTCCAAGGAGACAGCGTTCTCCAGACACAACAGAACTTAACACACCAGGATTCAAGGAGACTGTGGCAGCGTGCTCTGATGGCTTTGTCTCAGTTCTCAGGTGGCTTATATTATCAGACCCACTAGTTACATCATCTCCAGCTGGCACATAGGTGTGAGCTCGGTAACAGCTACTGTTGCCTTCAGTTTTGTAAATCCAAGTCATTATGTATAAATATTACATAGTCTATAAGGGAATTATTTTTTAAGCCCTGTAGTTGACCTGCCCATTAGTTTCGCGTCAAAATGCTGTTTTCTCCACGAGCTTACATAACACTCGCGAGTTAGCAGGACACGCAGAGATGAATAAAGACTCGAAAGAAAGTGGCTCAGTTTCATAACTCTGAAACTTGGACCGTGCTTTAAGGGTGCCACCTAGTGCAGCAACCTTCCTGGGTGAAATCCTGCCCGCTTGCAGTTTGGAAATATGTGGGAGTGGTTCCCTTGGCTGCCTGCTCCTGACCTCTGTGCACACCTTGGTCTGCCTGGACCTCGCCCACACTGAAGGGACGTAAATCAGATTTTTGATATGTTGTAAAGTGCAAGGCACCGCTGCCGAAGTGCTCAGTATTCAAAAACTTGTGAAACGCTGCATGCCTAGCAAAATTTACTTTTGTATGGGAATTTAAATTTTTGCTGAGGTAAGCCCTGTTCGTTGTGGGGGAAAAAGAAAGAAGGAATCAGTGATATACTTTTACTCTACTTACGTGTTGGTTCTTGATTGTCTCTCTCTCTCTCTCCCTCCGTCCCTCCCTCCTCCTCCCTTCTTCCGTCCCCCCTCCCCGCTCTGACTGTAAAAGAGATTGGTCAGGAGAAGACTTTGATATTGCACCTGTTTTTATATGAAGCAGTGGATTAAGCATTCACTGCAGTGTCTGTACTAAGTCAGGAACCTGCAGTCACAATGTAAGTACGACAGCTTCAGCTCTTTTTCAATGCCTGTGTTTCTGTTAGAGTAGCAAACGTCACATAACAAATCTCCTTATTTACCTTGCCTTGCCAAATGGCAGGCGCTGTTTAAAGCAAGGCATGTGTCAGTGGATTGACAGGCCGGGTGTGGGACCTCTACTAGACATGGAAAAACCCTTATAAAAGTTTTAACATTGTAACCAAAGTGCAAAAACTTTGCATGCTCTTTGAGATTTTTCTCCAAGGAGGACCATTTTCAACAAGTTGGAAAACTGGGAGGTCATGGGTTCTTCTGGGAAGTTAGCTTTCTGAGAAGCCTCATGGAAAAGCACAGAGGTCCGGAGATGACCCTTGATGTTGACCTTGATGCTGACACCTTCATGCACGTTTGGCAACACTGAAGCCTTTATCCAAAGCTAACCTTTTAGCGCTGACCTTTGCTCAGTTCGTGTTTCAGCGATATGTGTGTAGCTGAGACACTCAAATTCTGTCATGCACGTTATTCAACATTTTAGTTTTGCTGATTGAACATTTGACACTTTATAATGCCCTCACAGCATGATAATTTCCCCTAAAATATAAATTTTAAATTGTTTTAGGTGCTGTCTTTCAACCCTAATCCTTTCACCAAGAATGAAGCTATTTAAAAATTAAGATGCCAACAGGTAATTTCTTATAAGTTCATACTTTTTGTCTGTGTGAGTTTTGCTTAGCAATAAAACAGCAAATGTATATTGATATAAGTTATATTGTCCCCCATGTAAAGTCTTCCAAAAACATTATCGTTTTAAAAGACCTATATAACATACAACGATGTAACTTTTTACTTACATGTTTGTTTGATTTTTGTTGTTTTTACAAAGTGACAGATTCTAGCTTTCTCTCTTGTATCAACTTCTCAAATACTAACTGAATGAAATCAGGATAAAAATAGATTCAGAGGCAGTAATTCAAGTCAGACAAGTTTCTTTTACTGATAAAACAGCAGGTATTACAGAGAGGTGTCTTGTAATGCAGTTAAAGTCAAAGACATTGATTCCAGTAGTGGCTGTCACATTTCATCCTTAATCTTAAGATGTTGCCTTTCCTGGTTCTGGTGGAATGATAATTAGCATTTTATTTGTTAGCCAAGTCACTCCTAAAATGTTACATAATGTCAGAAGTTAGAGTATTAAGAAACATGGCATTGTATAAGAAAAGGGAGTAAAAAAAAAACTAGTTTAGGCCAGTTTACTTTCTTTTTAAACACTTAAATCCTTAAATCCTTTGTAGATCTGGGTTTTTTTTTCCCTCTTTACCTTTTATATTTTTTTAAATATGCTTTCATAGTTGCTATGAGAAACTGAACATATTTTTTTCTCATTTCAAAGTAAAAGGAAAATTTAAGCTTTTCAAATTCAGACTGGAATTTGGAGCTCCTAACAGCTTTAACCTAACAGGCGTCAGTAGTTTAGAGGCCAATATACTAGCTAGACTTTTTAGTGGCGTATTATATTTTAATTCCACATTGAATGCCAAATGGAAGTAATACCATTTTCTCTTACATATTAGATGAATCTAGATCATGATTTGGACAGAAACAGTCAGGAACTAGCAACATGCAATCTTAAAGCGATATGATGATCTCTTTAGGAAGAAGTTCTCAAGTTTCTCATCATAAATAGTAGTTGATGAAGACGGATTACAGAAAGGTCAAAGGTGAAAAAGAAAGTAAAGCTAGAGAAAAAAGTTTGGAAAGAGGAAATCAGGAGAGAAGACGTGGTTCTTTTCCCTGGTATTCTGAACATTTAGGCTGTGTCTAAGCAACAGTTTAAGTTTTCAGTTTTCCTTAAGACCTTAGTTCAAGCTCTGACTGAAACACCCTTGCAAATCAAACCTTATTCGATTATATTTCCTGGGTTTTGACATTGATTTGTAAAGGGTTTTTTTTTTTAAAACAGAATCTATTTCAATTATCTATTTTTTTCCACTGCAGTTTCAGAATTTTTAAAATATATTTGAGACATAAAAAGTAGAGTAAGAATCTAAATACAGCATTGTTCAGGGTGTGTCTATGTGACACGGGCTCGCCCCTCATCACTGTACTGTAATCTAACTGAAGGTTTCTGATTTCTGTTATAGAGCTTCTAGATTCATTATTGCCAGCAGCCAGACCCTTAGAACAGAATGCTTTCTCTTTCAAAGGGATAGACAACCTTGCCTAGGAAATAAGGAGTAAGATTGTTTCACCTGAGAAAAAGAAAGCTTCGTTCTCTTGTAAATGCTGATTCGTTCTTAGGTTAGACATTCCGCTCCTGGTGGCATCAGAAAAGGTTAACCCGCTTTCTCTATTTCATATGCATGTGTGTTGTAGATCACGAGGAGCCCTGTGGCCCCAGTCTCAGGTCATTTTGCCTGAATGGGGGGATATGTTATGTGATTCCTACTATTCCCAGCCCATTCTGTAGGTGAGTGAAAGGGGCTGGGGGAGAGGGTGATTTCAGCTCTCATCGTCTGAGGCCGTGAGAAGGGCTTTCCAAAGGTGAAGGGGAGTGGGGGTGCTCTATTCTCTTAATGCAGGACAATCTGATGCTGGAAGAAAAACAGTCTCAGTGTGGTGTTCATTTTCAAAACGGGCTCAGTGGTTATCAGCCTAGAGAGATTATAAAGAACATAATTGCAGAGAACCTTCTGAACTGCAGCAGTTTCAGGAAAGTGGTCCATGCAACATTGCTAGCAAACTATCACGAGAAATCACTAGTATGAAAAGCCCAAACAAGACGTTTTGCTTTAATATAGAATATGCAAATACAAAATAACTAACTGGTCTTTAACTTTCTCTTCTAATAGGCAGTAACTACTGTTTTAAGAGATCGGAAAGACATTGTAGCTCATCCTCCAAATTTTAACCATTCAGTTCTGAGTTCAAAATTTTCCATTGTGCCTTTTTTTTACATCTGTATATTTTCTCTGTTATAATTCCTTAATGTGTGACCTAATCACATTGTGATCAGAACATTTGAACCATTGAGCTGTCTGCACTGAGTTAAAAGATGATACTAAAGCCAGACATGGTGAAGCATGCCCTTAATAGCAGAACTAGGGAGGTTGAGGCCAGCCTGGACTACCATAGTGAAACCCTGTCTTAAAACAACAAGACAGTATTAAAAATGCCAGGATTTGGAGATTCGTTAAAATGGGAAGGAAGTTTGGTTGCCTGTAGCTTTTTTACTTCGATAAATGTGTTTTTAGTACATTTCCAAAAAGTTATCCTCAATGAACGAGAACAGGCAGTTTTTCTGGTAAAATACTAAATTTAAGAATCTATCAAGTTTCTTCTTGATTTCCACTTTTGAGCAGCAATTCCTAAGTAGCTGACACCATGCTCTGAGCCTGTGGTGGGTGGAGAATAAAGGCTCTGGGGACTAGCCAGCATATTGTGTCTCTGTAAGAGGTTAGCAGGGTTGGTCCTGTCAGGCAGTGTATGAACCGTGTGACCAAGAGTTATTCAACACCCTGGAGGAAGGGGGATCGAGCTGCAGGAGATGGGAGGACAAGGAAGGCTGAGAGTCAAAGAATAGGGCATTTGAAGGTTCAGGGGAGTTGAATGACATATTTTAAATCATGTATTATTCTATAATAAAATAATTGCTTTCCAAGGACCTTAGGACTACATTCCTAACATAGTTCTCACTAACAGACTGCAGTAGCAACATCTGAGGATGGTACATTCATTTTCCATCCCTTTCATATATTCCTGTATTCCCAGTCATCTTGCCATCAAGAAACACAGACTCACTTCTGACTGATATTGCTGGTTCAGCCAGTTGTCGGTCCAGATTTCTTCTTTGCCCTATGTCCTTAATCTCTCCACTCCTTTCTGTTTTCACTATTGGTCTCCTAGCTCAGACCTCCACTACCCCAGGCTTGTCCAATAGACAAGGTCTGCAAACTTAACTCCTGGAGCCTCATCCACATCACTGCACTGGATAAATCAAGAAACTTGAACAACAGACCCTGTGCCTACACATCTATTACCTATGGACAAAAGCTTCACTGTTTTGCCTAGCTTTTAGAGCTTGTTATAATTTGGTACCAAACCTACCTTTGTGGCCTTCATTTCATGCTTGGTCAGTGCTTGGTCTAGAAACACTGTTTGTGCTAAATACACTTTGTTTATGTTGCTTACCTTGAATTTCCAGCTATTCTGCCTCTTGTTACGTAGCCACATTCCAAACCTACTCATATTTCAAGGCTACTTTCTCTCTAACCTTTCAGCCCATCACAAATCCACACTAACTTCTTCTCGCTGTGGACTAATGCAGAAACATGGGAAAGTTATTACTTTATATTTGGGTCATTTATATACTCATCACTCTTGTTGAAATATAAATAGCCCCATTCTATCTCACCACCTGTAGGCATGTCTTGTGTCTTGTGTTATCCATGCTGAAGTTTCAGAACTAAGTTTATGTCTGAATCAGTGATCAGTATTCTTAGTGAGATAGGTAAGTGAGTTAGAAGAAAGGAAGAAGGAAAGAAAATACCACAATGGTAATGTCTGAATATTCTTTATCCATCTGCTACAATCTCTTCCTACAAACAGTAAGTGGCATTTCCCCTCCTGTCTATACTTCTTTCTCACTGAACTTTCTCAGAACATACTCTAGTTTTCTTTATATAATTTAAGTAAATGATTTTAAGCCAGCATTTTAATTGAGTGACTGATACTAATTCCTCAGTGTTTTTTTGGGTGTGGTGCTCACACATTCTCTGTACTCAGGGGCTAGAGACAGAAGTGCTGCAGCTTCATGGCCAGCCTGGGAGACAGTCTGAGACTCTGTCTTAAAAAAAGAAAAAAATCTTTGGTGTGTACTAAAATTAGCTTTGGGTTCTGGTTCATGAACAGAATTTGAAGTGGTCAGCCTGTGCTAGAGGAGAATGTGGGTTCTGAGTGACGGGTACAGGGTGTACGTGTCCATTAGTCCAAGCTTCTTACTTCCCCAATCTTCTATCTGTGTTTCTTATCTGTGTGGTTTGTCAATAGATAAAGAGCTATGCCAAAAGTTTCTTCTGTGATTTTAATTTTCAGTGGGGTTTCTGCTAATTTTTGCTTAAAATATTTTGAAGTGCTATTATTAAGTCCATGTAAATGTATGATGGATTGTTTCCTGGTAAGATTCCCCTCTCACCATTGTGTGATAGTGGTCTTCTTTGTCCCTAATAATGCTCTCTACCTTCCCACATCTATTTCATTGACATTAGGGTGGTTAAGCCAGTTGTCCCTTGTTGAGTATTTGACCAGTAGAAGTTTCCCTTCAACTTTTTATTAGATGTGTCTGTAAATACGCAAAATAAGCTTTTAAAATATCCAAACGTTTTAATGTCTAAAATGTTTTTCTTTTAATGAGAGTTAATCAAATTTTGTTTCTCTGGTTATATTATTTAATTTTTAAATCTGTTCTTAACCATCTTCCCTTATGATTTCTACTGTACTTTAAAGATTCCTTCTGACCTTTTCAGTGTGTTTTGGTTCATTTTGTTTTGTGGCAAGATCTCACACTGGCCCAGCCTGGCCTGGGACTCTTATGTAACTAACCCAGGTTGGCCTGGAACTCTTACGTAACCCATGCTGGCGGGGATTCCAGGCATGTGCTGCTGCCACGGCCAGCTCCGTACTTGCCTTTAGCTCTAGGACCTTGAGTTATTTGTGTTAAAGTAGGATATATCATGCACTGAGTCATGTCGGACATGACTTGCCTACGCTCTGTGAAGCCTCCTGCATCCTGCCTAAGCAGGTGGAGGGACTCCTTCCCTTGCCCCTGCCACTCCAGTGTCACTAGTATGAGGGCTGACATGTGAAACGTTTTAATTTTGTATTAAGTCACAAGTATTTTCTCTCTGATTGTCATATCTAAGGACTCATTGCCAGACCCCTGAAGCTTTCTCCATGCTTTTTTTCTGAATTGTTTACAACCTTATGTTTAGGTCTTTGATGTATTTTTATGTTAATTTTGTGTTTGGTATGAGTTGTTTTTGTTTTTGCTGTTTTGTTGTTTTTATGTACCTGTGCAATTTTTCTAACCTCATATGGTAAAAAGCTCTCTTTTCCTCATGGCATGGTCTTGGTGACTTGCCCATGTGTGTGAGGGCTTATTTTTGGGCTCTGCATTTCTACTCCATTTGATCCATAGTCTGCATTTACATTTTTATCACAATTTAATTTTTTTAAATACTTATTTATTATTTATGTATGCAATATTTTGTCTGTGTGTATGTCTGCAGACCAGAAGAGGGCACCAGACCTCATTACAGATAGTTGTGAGCCACCATGTGGTTGCCGGGAATTGAACTCAGGACCTTTAGAAGAGCAGGCAATGTTCTTAACCACTGAGCCATCTCTCCAGCCCCCACAATTTAATTTTTTAGCATATAAAATATATATGCTAATTTATATTTTTTAGCATATATGGGGAGAGGTGTGCATGTTGTGACCTGTATGGCAGGACCTGGCTCTCTCCATCCTGTGAAATCCAGGAATTAAACTTAGGTTACCTTGCTTGATGAAAAATACCCTTGCCCACTGAACAATTCTGCCAACCCCTGTCACAATATTTTAATATTATACTTAGAGTTCTCGAGTTTTCTTTCTCAAGAAAATTTTGGCTGATCAATATATCTTAAAAATCCCTAAGGGTGGGGCTGGAGAAATGGCTCAGTGGTTAAGAGCACTGATTGCTCATCCAGAGGACCCGGGTTCAATTCCCAGCACCCACATGGCAGCTCACAACTGTCTGAAAATCCAGTTCCAGGGGATCTGACACCTTCACACCAATGCACATAAAATAAAGATAAATAAATCGTTAAAAAAAAATCCCTAAGGGTCTTAAGACGAGCCGTTGTTGCTGTTGTTGTTGTTGTTGTTGTATATAAAGGTGTTCAGTTTTGATAAGGTCGCCTTAAGTACTTATACAGCCATTTTATTTATGTATTTATTTTAGATAGGGGTTCACTATATAAACCAGGCTGACCTTGAACTCACAGAGATCCACCAGCTTCTGCCTCCCAAGTGCTGGGATTAAAGGCCTGTGCCACCCTGCCTGGTCACTTCTTTATTCTGTGTCAGACATTATATGTGGAAACTATAGCAGTCATTCAAGGCCTTTGATGTTACAGTTCTTCAGAGAGGATCTACACAAGCTTTGGTCATTGAGTTGGAGGCAACAGTAATACTGGATTGACTACTTGGTGATCGAGATTCTTTGCAGCTAGGCCTCAGCTCAATGTGGACTACCTCATCTGGTTTACCACTGTGTCAACGATAAACATTAGAATCATCTTTCCAACTTCCAAAATAAGAACAAAGACCCATAGGACTTTAAATGAGATTGAATCTTTAGATCATATATGAGGAAAATTGGCATCTTAAAATTGAAGACTTCTGTTTTTAAAATGGGCATTTTTATAG